GCCCTCCCCGCCCCCTCCTCCTGCTCTGGTTTATTTTGACGCTTAAACACGGAGATGCCAAAATCTTCTGCGCCTCTCTAGTTAACTCCTTGCTAGAAAGATAATTTAGACAGCCTTTAATTTTAGCGTTGTTTAATTTTTGCCGTAATGATATTTCTCATTAAGTTGTGTACAACAGATATTAATAAATTTGTTCGTGTCGTGATGTGAACTTCAATTTCTCAGTTCATTAATTTCCACAGCATTAATTTATGTGGGACCCGCTGCTGCGAGGCCGGGGTTTGGGAGCTCGCGTCCCCGCGCGCCTCCCGCGGGAGCCCGGCCGGCGCGGGGGGCTCCTCGGGGCCTGCGGAACTCCAACACATCTCGTGGGATGCTCTTAAAACACGGCAGAGCTTCGGAATTCGGCCGCTCCCCCAATCGGAAGCGCGGAGCGTGTCAGCATTACAAGAGTTGGAATTTTCCTGCACGTTTTTAGAGGTCCTGCAGGGCCCCCTGCCAAGCGCCCGGGCCCGAAACTTATGCTGAGGTGCTGTTATGCTGCGCCACAACCACCAAGCACTCTGGAGATCAGCATCAGCATCCCCACAGGTGAGCCCAAAATACAGTACCCGCCTACTCTTTTGAGTTCAGATCAGTAAGGGTCCGTCATCTTGGTCTGTATCCAGATGATGCTGAGACACAGAGGCTATGTCTCGGAGGTTGGCGGCAAGCAGACAGGAGCGTGCTCTGCCAGCACTCTAAGCAAAGTACGAAAGAGCAGCACTGGTCAGGACAGACTAGCTCACTCGGTGCTTCCAAGAATCATCTAGCAGATACAACGTCCAGATTTTTTTTCCAGGAGCTGTGTGCGCAAATCGGTTTAATTCGGAGCACGTGGTTGGTGGTAGGAATATACTGTACTCAATGGCAGGTTCATTGCAATCTCACGATTGACTTACGAGGTGTGACAATTTAGGCCGTCCACTGCATACTTTTCTGGAAAAAAAATCTGAATTTCTTAATTTAAGCCATTTAGCCATTTTTTAATTTTTGAATTTCATCTGTTGCACAATCAGGGGAAAAAGCAAAATTGGTGCTCTATACATTTATTTCAGTATTTATTTTAGTAGCAATGTTTGACAGTTGCGAACTTCTGCACAATCGTACCACTACATCTCTCGCTGTGCAAATTGATACCAAATGCCTTCTTAAAGAAAAATGGAGTGGCTAGTTTTTTAATAATATTTTTAATAGTTTCATCTGGGGGGAGACCAGAAAATTAAGCAGGCTGCAATTTTAAAAGAACACAGAGAACCTTTTGCTCTGCATTACAACCATAAAGCTTGACCAGAGTGCAATATCTTTCACCATCTATAAAAATAAATTACAACCGAAAACTGAATTTTAAACACATATTGTACTTCCAACCTTAGAGCAAGCCAGAACTTTCTTGCTAAAAAATGTCCTCGATACCTTGTATGTGCGTTGTTTTAAACAGGGAAAAGCTGTCTGCCCTGATGAACCTGCACTCCGGCGCTCTGCTCTTAAATACGTAGGTGCTTAAATGCCTGATGGCAGGCTACGTAAGGGCAGTGGGACAAAGCTGAGAGGAGGGCACTTCTCTGGACAAGGCCTCGCTCCGGGGTGGTCCCTGGCTGTGTGGGAGCAGGGAGAGGCCGTCCCGCTCCGCGGGCGCCGAGCGGGGACGCGCGGGATGGCGGGAGCCGGCAGCGCCGCATGCACGTGCAAGGGGAAGGCAGCGTGAGCGAGACGCGAGCGGAGCGCGGGTTAGCCCTGCGGGACGGGCCTGGCCTTCGCTCGCTTCCCTCCGCCTTTGTGCTTTGGCTTTCCTTGATAAACTCTGCCTTGGGTTTCTTTGGAAAGAAAAAGTGATTCCTTTGCAGACCTCTCTGCGTGGCAGTAAGTCCTAAAATATGGGATTTGGGGGGCCTGCGAGGTCATGCTTCAGCGTGCTGTGCGCAGACAGCCCTTGCTTGGTGTGATGTTCCCAAGCGCCGTGTGCTCCGTGCCCCGCCGGAGACAAAACCATCCAGCTGGGAGCCACGGGCAGAGCAGACGGGGCTCTGCCCCGCTGCAGCACCACCTCCAACACGCCAAGGAAGACTGCACAAAGACAAATCCTGTCGCTGACTGACCTACCAAGAAGCGGCAAAGCACCCCCCAAAGCTCCTGCAGAAGCACTGGAGGGCACGACGCGTAGGCCAGGCTCGCATGCGGCCCTGCAGGCCCGCGGTGCCGTCGCACCCTCATGGGAAGGCTGCGGGCGCTTCGGTCACTTTTGATCACTTGCAATGGACAGGGTGGTCGATCTGCTCCCTGAAACTGGGCCAGCAGCCGCCCGCTGGGGTTGGTTTGCCAGCAGAGCTTGCACAGGGCCAAAGCAACGCAACAAGCAATGACGGAGATGAAGCCCTTCCCTTTCACTGGGAGACCATGTCTACCAACAACAACCATGTCTATCCAGACACATGAACCAAAGGGTTAACCTCCCTCCCAAAAACCCTCAGAGCAATAGTGATGACAGGGCCTTACTTCTATCTGCACTTGACTAAATAGCTGTGACCTCTCCTAATGGGTGCAGATTTTCTTAGTTGTTACTGCGCTCTTTCACCTCCAGCTATAAAATATAGGCTCTATACTTGAAGATCACTGGAAAACTTTAGCTGCATTGGACTGTAGCTCCCAAATTCCATATTTTATTTTAATGTATAAAAAGTGCTGATCAGAAAAGTCTCAAGGTGATTGTACAGTCTTCATAAAGAGGCTAATTAAACTTTAAAATGGGCTCAGTGTCAACAAATGACTAAGGAAAAAAAGAAGAATGAAGCAGAAATCCCCCAAATAATTATACAGGTCAAATGCAGCGTAAATAAGTAGCTCTTGCATTGCTGGCTTTACTTTGTGATGTTTCATGAAGGAAATGTATGACATTTTCATTCCAGAGAATGCCTGTCCTGCCACTCACTTCTGGCTGCAACTCAGTTCAAGGTACTGGTTTAGATGTGTGAGGACAGCTGGGTGAAGTGTTGTCATCCTGAAACCTTTCATGAGTTCAGTTTGAATTAACTGAGTAGCTTTGGTTGGGAAAAAAAAATGATGGTGCCTCTCTACGCTGGTGATTAGGGAGCTCACCAAGGATATGTCAGATGCAATTTGATTTTCTCCTCAGCCCAAGGGGACTCAAACCCACATATTTTACCTTCCATTAGAGTACCCTAACTATCATGATACGTGGTATTACAGGGTAGGAAATGTGCAGTTTCCCCTTTTGGTGCAGTTGTACTACGCATAAATTATTCAACTTTTTGTCACAGACCTGGGACTTGGTGTTCTAATTATCAGACTAGAAAGACATCCCTGCTATTTTCCCTAGGTCATTTTGTTCGGCACAAAAGGATTCAGTTTAGCTGTTTCAGTTGGGTGAGGGAAACACTTTTTTTTTCTTTTTTAGATCAACACTTCTATTCATTTTCAGTTTGGCTACTGAACCAATAACTGAAGTATCTGCACTGCCATAACCATAAATACCCTCTGATCTGAGCAGTTTGGAATGCCCACGCTAGCAGGGACAGCCCTGTAGTGCAACGGTTAAGATCTCAGTGACACGTAACACAGAAATCCTTGGACTTTCAGCAGCACCTGCAGGAGGGAATTCATTACGATGGCACCAGGTCGGCTGCTGGGATTGCAGCACTCCCCGACGGGGCTTGCCTGAACCCAGAAAAATTGTAGCCCAAAGAATTGTTAGGCCTCAGTTTAGGAACCAGCTTCCCGATCTGCTTAGCAAGGTGGGAATTGGTAGGTGCAAAGTCCCAGGTATTCCCAGGAGAAGCATTTTGTACCTGGAGGTGAAGAGGTGGGGTTGCTGATTTGTTTTTTTTTGTTGGAGGAAATCCCAGCACCTGATGTCTGCTGGGAACTGGGCATTTAGCTTGCTTAGATTCTTCTGACAATCCTGCTTTGCATTAATCTAGATCTTTGAAGCACCTGAAACCTTGAAAATCTGATGGGAAGCCCTTTATTTACATAATATAATGACAGAAATTCAGATCATTTTACTTTAGATCTTCCAATAATTTCATTTTTTTCAAAGTAAAGCAATGGCAAAACGTTAATGAGCACATATATATATAAGTACTGCTACAGAATAGCTGCTTCAGATTTATGCTGTGTGTATCACATTTTATTTTATTTCAGTATTTAATTCTTATGCTAAGTTTTTTAATAAAAAATAGAGCATTGGATTATTTTATGAGTGGATGAAGGGATGACTTTTTCTAAGCATGTAGTTTTTACTCACTGTAGCACAGCAAAGCTTCGACTAAGAACAGATATGCAGTAACCTGAAGTGTTAATCTAATTATTCCCTTTTTTAAAAAGAAAAATCCATCCATTCTACAATGGTATTTTTGTAGCTGGATCCTCAGCCCCTCATTGACCTGGTTGCATAATAAGGTCTCAGATGCTATGTTCTTTGGACCAAGATATTCAGAAGTTAATAAAAAACCAAAGGGATTTCCACTTTGAGATACTGGTCTCAAATGGTCTTGATTTTTGGCAGACAGGTGGTCCTTGGGGATTGTGGCTCTCTGAAGTGCCTTAAGCTACATACCACAAAATGTAGGTATCCAGAATTAGCAAGCAGTTTGAAATATCAAAATATCAGTCCTCACCTGTTTATCTGGGAGCACCTATTGTATTATGGCTATCCTAGTAATAAAAGAATAACTAATATTGCAGTACCCCCATCTTAACTACAAAATGTAAATGCTCCAAGGTGACGGTGTCTGCAGCCCTTTCGGATTTCCATGACATTCAAAGCACTTCCCTTTATTGCACTGCAGAACCAGGCTCATGATTTGTAAAATGTAGGCAAGCAAACCTGATGAATGGTTCTTATGAAGCTGTCAGCATTATCATCCAAATTTTAAAATATGCCATAAAAAGTAAGACTTCGTTTTGCTTATTTTTATTCCTCCACAAAAGTTACTCTGTCTCGTAATTCTGTCCGCCCCGCTACCAGCGGATCACCGGGTGAACTCTGCGGACGATTTATAAATCATTCCTTACGCTGCCCATATAAAATCACACAGATTAAAAAAAAGAAAAAGCAAAAGCTTGGCATTGCCTGCCATCATTAAAATATTTAGTTATTCACACAGGGAACTAACTACTTTAATGCTACAACAAGAGGCTGTGTTAGGCCCAACGGAGCATTAAAACTCAGTGCACAAATGGCTAGTTACTCCAAGAGCAGGTTAGTTCACTGAGTAAGAGCTTAGTCTGATTCATAATATTATTTGACATATTTTAAAATAACTATTGCAGCATATGTAAAATGAAGAAATCACACCACATTATGCTGGAATATAGCTGCTTTAAAAGGCCATAAAACGTATCCAAACATGTATAAAGAAATGCAAAGAGTATAAAAAATCTCCAAGAAGCATTCCGGGATACATGCTTACTTGAAAATTTAATGTTTGAAATCTTAAGGGAAAACGGCAGGAAAAAAAAAAAAAAAACAAAAAGCTAGTGAAAAGCTAGTGAAGTCTCTAATGGAAGCATTAAAAGTGAACTCGGATTTGCTTAAAATTTTAGCCTATCGTTTGTGCTACTGTATTTTGCATCATCATGACACCACTTTGACAGCACCAGAAACCTGAAGACACGGCCAGGTACCTTCCCCCAGAACAGACAATCATGGCTTTAGCGTATGCACCGAAAAGCAACGCACGGGAAAGGGAGAGAGGAGCAGCTCACCTTGGAGTCCGTTTCCATTTGCACTGGTGCAAGATGGTGGAGGAGAGGCTTGGGGCCTGACAACGGGCGCGAAGGCGCTCTTTTGTTTCACTGCAGAGATGACATTGGCAGGTGAGAATGAGAAAATGCCGTGTGTACTGCTACAGTTTGAAGGGAGGGTGACCGAAGAGGCTGCCATGGTAGGGCTTGACGGCACTACTGCAATAAAGCAAAAATAATCAGGACTCAGATTGAGGTTTTCACGGCAAACACGGAAAAAGAGAGTGATAGGGCCTTGCCTCTTAAAATATATATATGTATATATATATAAGTATATATATATAAAAAAAAAATGAAATGCCTTGGCTTGGCCACTCTCTGGATAACAGGCAAACTCTTTTGTGTTGGACTTTTGTTACGAATTGCGCAGTCCAATTTTTTTTCTATCTGAGATCGTATTATGGCACAAACAGATCAATTTATTATATTCATTTTTACGTCCAGCCTCCAGAGTCACCCCTCCTTTTATCCAGTAGCTCACAATATAGAAAATCAAAACAATGCAAGTATTTGATTCCGTAGTAAATATGAATCTATATGATGATGTGTTACCAAAAATAGACACTTACTGCCATAAGGAGAGTTAGCTGAGGAGCCATTAAGAAATCCAGGGGAACCTGGTACACCTAGATTGGGCATGCCGGCATTGCCATATCCATTCATGCTATTGCTGACTGTGTTGTAATTGGACTGCTGAGGAGTACTGCTCGGAACATATCCTCGCGGGGAAACACTGCTTGTGTTGCGACTGTAACCTACTGTGTTAGAAACCCCCCCACCCCAAAAAAATCATGTTATTTTATGATATAGACTTAGGGCTGGGGGGTTTCCTCATGCATCATATATTACACAGTTTTAATTGATTGCACAGCTTTGCTCTAAGTTGTCTGTTACTGCCCTATCAACTCTTGCAGCTTCAGATAACCTTATCACGCCAACCCTACTTAAATCATCTGCGAGCACTCTATGTTGTCTCTCCTCTTAGCACGGACAGCCAACAAAAGCTCTCTTCGATCCAGCTCTGTCAGTTGCCTTCACATTTGTCTTTAGTAGCAATTATCAACCTCCAGACCTTCAAATGCCAGAGCTGACAACAAAAACTTTTTTGTTGCAGTGATTTAACTTGAAAAGGCTGGTTCGGGGTCTTCGGTTTATGATTGATATTTTCATACTAACAATAAGCTAGCACTTTCATAAGGTGTAGTCATCAGTGAAAACTAATTTGAGACCAAATACAGAATTTTATAAGGCTTATTAGCTTGGAAATGCATTAGAAGACTTAATCTTTTGTAAGAGGAAACATAGCAGAATCAGGATTTTAAACAACAATTTATTTCTCTCTGAGCAATCAATTGAATAATTATGTTGCAAGCAAAAAATATACGGTTTTTCAACACACCTAATAACCTGGTTTCATGCCATTCATCACTATCAAGATTAATTTTAAATGCAATATGCTTATATGCATTTTAAATTACAAAATGTAAATTAAATCAACTGTTACTTTTATTAGTAACCTATGTAAGTCACACTGCTGCTTATATATAAAAAATACTTAGAAATCACAGACCTCAGATTAGATTTATCTGGGTAAATATTCAAAAACAGGTGGACATACGTATACAGTTATTCTACACCAAACACACACACGATATATTTACTGTGAAAAACAGAGCTTTCTACATTTTGCCATTC